ACTAACTCTGAGTAACAAATATACTTTGAGTAATTTGGATTTTCTGATGACCTGTAACAGGCAGGAWAATAAATCATTTGCTTTGAATTGTTCAGCTCTGATAACTGCCATTGTGCAGTACAATACACAAACGTTGTCCTGGGTAATAAAGGCRCAGTAGAGTCTTAAAATATCAATCAGCCATATTTTAACAACAACAACAGAAACTGTCAAAGGTGTTTTATGTAGGTTCTATTTGATTATTGCTACTGATCATAGAATATATTTATTTTATTTTAAAAAATGAAATTACTGAAATAGAGCACACAAAGCCCATAAAGGATCAGTTCTAACTCTGATCTTACATTCATGTCTTTAACTGGTTTCTCTTCTCTTTTAAAATTCCGATTCTAAAAACAAAATTAAAAGCCTCATTGCAGAAGCCAGTTAGTTTATCTGCATGTTTGATTTGCTACCAGTTACGAAATCTTTTTATAGTTCCCTGCAGCAAACCACTGGTTTAGGTCACTGCAGTCAGCTGGGCTCGGCGCGAGACCTGCCCATCTGATTCTCTTTGCAGGATCAGAGTCGTGTTTTATCTGCAACGGTGTCTCCGAGTTTCAAAGCAGCAGCCACAGCGATAATTTTACAACTTTGGCACTTTCMGACTTGCTCAAGCAAAGAACGCAATCTTTAAATCCAGCTGAATTCAACACTTGTATTTATTAACACGGTGGCAGCGGGCCAGAATTCTAGACACGTAACCTGCTYCTCAGAATGGCTGCCTTTGTGAGGATATCGGGATTTCTGGAATTCAAACCCACCAATTTGCTCGATGAACCAGAAAGCATTTCTGTTTCTTGGCAGAAGGAATTAGGAAAAATTACCAGGCTTGCATTTTTTCAGGGCTGCGATAAAATTATTTTTGAACTTTATTCTTGTGAGTACTGGGTTGCTCCTGTACATTCCAGTTGTCTCTGGGTGACCACATTAGAAGAAGAAAAAAAAATACCCCAGCACTGAAACAACAGCAAATATTGTAATTTCCTAGTTTCTTCTTCCTAGAAATAACCTCAGAGAAGCTTCCTAAATTAAGATGCTGTGAAATGGAGGAAATTTATTCAGGAGAATTATACAGTGTAACTGAAAAGAGTCTGAAAAGATTGGCAAAGGATTTTTTAATGGCTTTTAAAATTATTCTTTCTAATTATAAAAAGGACCTACAAGGTGGCATTTGGCAGGAGGGGGATTGTTGTGCTTTTGTTTGTGTTTCTTTTCAGAAGAACTTCAGAAAAAAAATCTTTTCTCTTAAATTTCATTTATTTCTTTTTCTAAAAAGACAAAGAAGAAAAAAAGCAACAGCAACACAATTTTCTCTCTGAAGTTATAAAAATATTTATTGTAATTTCTTTCATTATTTTGAAAGGCGGGACTGTTTAGATCAAGACTGTCCTGCTGTCCTTTCATTAACATGCAAGCCAAAACCTTTTAGAAAGAGTTTAACCAAACAAATAGCATTTGTGATACTCTAGGTAAAAATCTCTCCCCCTCTCATTGCTGCTCTTTGGTCCCCTTGGCTATTGTGATCCTGTGACTTCATTCAGCCTCTATCTGTCAGAAGCTGGRCAGGTTTAGGAGTTGCATTTCTAATTTCTAATGTTAAATTAATAAGAGGGACAAGTCCTTTTCAGCTCTCTTTTTTGTAGTACATTCTTTAATAAAAGGTTGAAAAGAGATTTATACTATTTCTGCCCAGTATTGGTCATCTGTTACAGTTTTGTATAGTTCTGCATTTATTCTTGGGTGAATAGTATCATAGTCATCAAAGTTAGGGCTTTCCAACACACTTCACTGCTGTCCCATTGAATTTAAAGGGGATTTTACACACTGACCCAACACTAAGACCACTCAAAATTTTCTTATGACACAGTGACTCTTACAGCCTAAAAAGTGAATATTTTCTTGGAAATGCTTTTACATGTATGCATTAAAACTAAAGTAAAATTCTGTATTGTGATTGCCATCGTCCTTGTAATTCTCTTCTGTAAGTTTTGCATACCGATTTAGAAGTCCTCACAGAAGATTTATATTTCTGTCAATGGGCTTCTGATAATCCAGGCTGAGGGCTGCGACTATGCAGTGTGAATTGACACRCTTTGTTTTCTGTTAAGACATGGGTGCAAAATCTTGGGTCTAGGCAGTCCCCCAGCATACAAGAGTTCAGCTCATGACTCTAACCTGACCCATCTTAATACCCCCCATTCTGCTGGTGTTGCACCAAAGTCTGGTTTTGTGCGAAAGGCTGCTTGGTTAGGCTGTCAGAAGAAKATTTCTAGCAGAGCTGACTGATCTCCCAGGTTTCATGGCAATATTTCAAAATAGTTTTAAAATCTCCATTAATTCTACAATTAGGAATCTACAATTGGAAAGGGAAACAAAAGCTACTCCAAGATTCTTCATAGCATGSAAGAGTTTTGGTTTCATGGCATTATGCCTGGAAGGCTGACCTAAAGCTGCACACCTTGGAAGTTGTTTTCCAAGGGCTACTAAGAGCAGTGTGGGCTACTAATAACAAMTCATCTAGCAGGCAAATGGACTCCTACCTAAGGCAAAACTTGCACCATCTCCATGTGACATTTCAATTTTGACGCATCAGCAAATAATGTCAAAGACGAGTGTTATATCTCACTCTTATTTTTACRTTTTAAGCCTCTCACTTCCTCTTTTACTGTCTCCTTGGGCCTATTTGTTCTAAGGCTGCTTTGTTACTGTATTTCACATCCTTTTAAATGTAAATGGGAAGCCAAGTACTGCAGGTGGAAGAATTGATCCTGAAGCAGTAGCAAAGATGCTGCAGTATCAGTTCTTTCAATAGATGTCTTTTATTAATTTACAATTGTTAGTAGGACAGATACTTTCTTTAGCACCAACTATATCACTGTTACATGTTGCATGGACAGATCTTTCAGACTTGGGTAACCAAAAATACAAGCTTTGGTTTTGATTCCTGTCTGTTTATTTCCAGGTCTCTCTTCCTGCATTACTTGACATCTCCAGTCCTGTTTTTGACCTCTGAGGTGCTGCTTTCCAGTTCTCGTCGCCCTTACTTTGCCACGTCCTGACTCCTCCTGTGCAGAGGGTGAGTGGGGCCCTTGCGTGAGTCACCCTGAGGTGAGCGGTCGGCCGGTGTCGCGTCATGGGGCACGTGGGGACCTGGCAGGGGCTCCTCTGGTACCGAGCCATCCAGTGAGGGATGATGAGGTTTAGGTGGGATAGTTATCCCAACCTGAATAATCGCACTCCAGCCTGTATTTCCATTTCTGGAATAATGTACCAATGTGTCTGTTTTATAGACAGGCCAGACTGTGGCTCTTCTCCTGTTTCTGAAYCTTCAATATAGGTGACATAAAATTGGCTTAACATTGCTTCCCCGTCTACCCGAGGTGTTTCCATTTTAGCAAAGAGATAAGGAGAGGCCTGCCTGAAAGATCTGGCTCAGGCTTTTGCAGCAGATCTCTAACCAGAAATTTGATATCAAAGGCAGAATGAGCAATGCCCTATGAAGGAAAGAGTGGAAACAAGGTATCCCATTTAGCAAGTCAAGCCTGGTAAAAGACATCTTGAAGAAATCTGCCAATGTTTTTTGTTTCTGCCATTAGTTATTCAGATTTACACATGCCATGACATTATAAATTCAAAAATAGTTGATGTGAATCTGTTGTACTAACGCACACAGGCTGTCAAACTGTGGCCTGTTCCGTTGCAAATCCAAGTTCTAGGTTCTCATGCTGAGAACAAGCAGGATATTTGAGTTCTCCTGTTTGCCTGCTCACCACTGTACCTGAGTTGGTAGGATTTTCTTTGTGCACAGATACATATTCCTGGTACTTTSTATTCTTGTACTTTCCTGCAATTTTTCTCTTGCCTAACTCTCTTTTCCTGACCCTGTATCTCAGCCCCTCTCAGTGTCACCTGCTACTGCATTGCTTTTCCACAGAATCAGGGGAAGGCAGAATAAAGGAATGGGCCAGGACTCAGGGGCATGACCAGACCAGTCGCATGCAGTATGAGGGCATTTGCAGGACCGTGCAAATGTAAAGCCAAAGTGGTTCCTGGCCTCGCCACATGCACTAACCAGGCATCTCTGGATTGCCCTCTGTTGTGCAGCAGGGATCTGCTCCTAGGAGCTCCCTGGCCAGTGTTCTAATTTGAAGCAGCGCGTAACTTGCCTTAGCAGCTCTTGGTGAAATAYAGCGAAGAGCAATTGTTGGCTCCGACTGTGTAGTTGCCCTTGCATAGAGCAGAGGTCAGAAGTAGGAGAGAGTCAAGCTTATGGTTTTAATTTCGTATTAAAATGTTTTATCGTGGCTTCATTTCATGTCCGTGGATCTACAGTTGAATCACACATCATTCAGYCTCTTAATTTCCTGTAATAAAAATATAAGTGCTCAGATAAAAAAGTTCAAAGACCTTTTCCTGAAAACCATGGGGGTGAGGGAGAGAAAAATCTTCTCTACACTTCTTCCAGCTCTTAAACAGGTTTACAGCGCTAGGTTATTTGTTTGCATGGTGTCCTTCATCGTCACCATCTTCTGATCGGGGCTTTTGAAGTCTATACTGTAATATATATAGTAACTTGACAAAATCCATTTGCTGAGTTGGCTGGAGGAGGCACATAGTGCTGCGCTGCCCGCGCTGGGTGTCGGTGGTGCTGCCTGCATGCAGTGAGTTTGCAGGTCACACACATGGACACTGGGTGTAGCTCGYTAAGAAGGGGGAGCTTTATCCTGAATCTGAGTGGCTGGAGAACTGTGGCAATGATGAAGGCTGTGGACAGCTTTGTGCTATATTTACATCTGCTTATCTTGAATTTCTGTTTGCACAACTGTCCGATCCTTCCCAGGAAGCAAGCTTTTATGTGCTCCTGTTGAAATCAGAGGTGTATCGATTTTAGGAAGGAAGGCAGGGCCTAACTGCTGCTGCTTGGAGATCTTCCCCCCACCACCCAGCCAGGCTACCATTAGAGCATCMTCTGCTCAACAAGGGTACTGAGAAGCCATCAAAGCCCTTCAGCGGCTTAAACGTACTCAGGACAATCAGTCATAAAGTTACTTTAATAGGAGTGACGAACAAATTACTAGAAGTTTTTATTTCTAMAACATTTTCGGCCTGTGTTCTCTARATCCCACRGCGGCCCCCGTGAAATCCCAACACAGCGGCAAGGGAGCTGCAGCGAGCACAAAGCACAAATAAAGGGAATGCTAAAGCTGGGCTGCATAACCCTGCTTGATGTGCGGTCTCCTCTGATATCACAAACTTTTTCTATTAGGAAAAAGAAGCCAGAAGCCTTTGCCTACCAAAAAAGAATCTTTGATCTAAGTCTTTTATGTTTCTCTCTCCCTCCCCAGCAGCCCCCCTTGCTAAAAGGAGCCATGCCAGCATTATAGAAATAGCATCTGCAAAACAATTTGCAAGCTGGCGTTGAATACATCTTGCTTTTCAAAAAGCAAATCTTTCACATAATGTCATGTGGTGATTTTTGTGATGTTGCATATTTTTAATGGCCTATGTGTAGAAGATAGATGTCAAAGACATCAACCCTACAAACAACTGTAAATATTTGCCTTGAGAAAGCATGTGGTATATCCTGTAATTCTTGGCTCAGTCTCTTAATCTGGAGGCAGCTTAATTAGTTGTTAGTGGACTAAAGCAAAGAAAACCTTTTCAAAATATATTAAATAAACAACAAGGGGCCTGATTTTTATGACGTGCTAGAGTCCACAGTGACTTTTGTAGAACCTATAGGTGCTCATCATTCTGAAGGCTGGGCCCTTTAACTCATAGTTTGGAAGCTGAAATTTATGCTGAGTTCTTAGCACTAAATAAAATCACCCAGTTAGTGGTTTACAGAAAGGATTGGCTGTGGGCATTCCCTAATTCCATATTTATTTTCCAGAAAAAGTAGCCGTAATTTCAGAAATACTGAATATACATCAAGTTCAGCTGATTTCCAGTCCCCAGGAAAGGATAATGTTGTCCTTAGACATTATTAAGAGCTAGGCAAACTGAATATAACTGAATACAACTGAAGAGATTGAATATGCTACCAATTCCATTGACATGTGATTTCAAAGAAAAGCTTGTTTTTTTTTCCAGTGAGGTCTTCGAGTGTGAAAAAAGACCTGAGCTTTATTGAGGACAGTTTAATGGGATCTATATTCAGCATTCAGTCAGGATTTCAATTTCTTTTATATATACATATATATATATATTAGGCCATATAGGGAGTGTAATAGAAAATAAATATATATACTAATGGTGTGATGTCATCTGGAATACTGTGTTCAATCTTATTTCAGCAAGAAATACTTCATAAATAAAGGTGGCTAAGAGATGACTGACGTTTCAAATCGCTAAAGGAAATAGTTTTTGCAAAGCAACACAAATATTTCATGGAACTCGTTATCACAAGATGTTCTTACAGTCTCAAAGGTTAGATGTGTATCAGGACGAGCCACAGGTACACTAGATGGGGCAAGAAAAGAAATTATAGCTTCTCAGGCTGCAAGGCAGTACTGACAGATGTGAGTTAGAAAGTAAATGTGCTACGAGCAGGATTTTCTAGTGCAAGGTCTTGGATTATTGCAAACAAGACTGACCAGTGTTAGGGAGAAATTCTCTTGCTAGCCACAGCTCTTACTCTATACAGTGATTTCTGTGCTTTTATGAAGTGGCAATGTCTTCAAATTAATTTAAAACAAAAAAGAAAAAGAAAAAAAGAATTAACTATACTTTGAACAATTCTACTTATGGTTAGCTACATATTTTTTCCTAGTTGGAAGCCAAAGACGACGACTACAAAGAAGCCTGGGGTTCATTTCTTATTCCAGGAGTTTATCCTTTACCTAACCAAAAGGGGCTCAGGTTTTCGCTKGTGATTTACTGTGATATTTACACAGAACAAGCCTCTCCTGAACACATGGGGTTTGTGGTGCCTCTTTGTTTCTCTTTTGAAAACAGAGACCATCACATTAAACCCTAATTTAAGAATTTTCACTAGCAGTCTTGCCTGTGCTGTTAACAAACTGTAGATGCAAATATTGTTCCCACTCCTTGGCTCCTGAGGAGAGTGTTTCATTGATATGTTAATATCTTCTTTTCTCTTGTTTCCATGACCTAAGATCTTTACAGCCACAGTATTAGATACAGTACGTGCATGAAACAAAAGTAACATATCATTCTCTGTTCGAAACACTGCTTTTTCTGTAAATGTTTCTGTGGGGACAGTTCAACTAAGAGATATTTTAATGTATGGGAGTTTTCAGTGAATAATAAATAACATATTTTTAGGCTAAGCAGTATACTATTTACAGCTGTGATGCTCATATTGCTATTTTCTGCTGCCATTCTTACTAACTATGCAGTTACAGTACATGAAACATAATTCAAGGAATAAATCTTAATTTTCACTATGACCTTCATCCTTTTAAATTGTTAATATACAAAAAAAAAAAAAAAAAATCAGAAAACAAATGCATGTATCTGAGTTTGAAACCAACCATAAAGAATTTGGGTGTTATATTGCATCAACAAGTAGGGTGGATAATTAGAAAGCAGTTATGTGTGCTGTGTCCTGAGGGGCAMGAAGCATTTTGTTGGAATTCGGGAGGCTGCACTGGTTGGAATACAGAGAGTGCTCCCGGAAAATCCCAACTCAAAATGCATCAGCAAGAGAGCCCYGCATGGGCTGCGCCTTTGGAGGGAGGGAGCGATGGGTTCTGTGATCCCAAGCAAATCCTGAAACCCCTGTTTTCCTGCCATGGGCACGTGGAAACGGGTACCTTCCTCGATGAAATGTTTTGCTAACAAACTCTGCAGACACTGACCTTTGCTGTCTGTGGTCAAAAGCAGCTGACATAGTCTAAAAATGTTGAAATTCACTTGAGCTTTGTCTAAATAAAGACTCCCACCTATGCAGCTGAACAAATGGTAGTGTCAGTGGGAACTATAAAATTTCCTTTGTGTAGGCAGATGCAGTAAATGACAATAACTTTCAAATTTCCAATGAAAATACCCCAAAATATTTTAGATAATTGGACTTTTTTTTTAAAGAAAACTGGCCCAGTCACTAAATAAATTTTGAAAAAAAAAACATTGCTACCTATTCTACAACCATTGACACATGCTATAAAAAATTAAGTTATCATTTCAGGGGGGTTTTATGTGAGTTTATATGCAGGCACTCCAGATGAGTCAGTAAGATGCTGATTTAAAAAAAGAAACTGTGAAATCTCAGTAAAGGTTTCGCACAACAAGCATCCTAATTTCCAGTGAATCAAGTGCATGAGTGTTGCGCCTATTTAAAACTTCCACTAAAGCCAAACAAGTGGAGCGACTGGTATGAAAGAATTTTAAAGCATGTGGAACAAGTGAGTGTCTCATCACGTGCCCCTTTTTGAAACAAGAATGAGAAATTTCTGCCTTGGAAGTAGTTCTGCTGGGCCAACGTACAGCTGCAGTTTAGTTGATGCAATCTGCATGGGAAAAGCCTCAAGTGGAGGTTGCATGAGGATTTCTATACTAATATATATACTTATAAATATAGGAAAATATAGCTTTATGTATTTGTGAGTTTGGGGAATTAACAAAACRTGGTATGGTTGAAACAGGAGCTTCTGGAGCCGAGGCACTTGGTCCCTGTGCTTGGCTGCATGGGATTTTCCTGCCCRTGCTCCCAGCCGTGGCTTGGAGCACTGGCTGGTGGCTGTTGATTTTATTCATACGTGACTTGGAAATTTGAGAGTTGCTGTGTGCAATCATGTGCTGGTGTGCTGTGTATAAAAGGTATATTGTGCATAAAAAGTGGGATATCCCAATGTTTTAAGTACCAGCTGAAGCAAGTGGAGTATATGGCCTGCCAGTGGGCCAGGTTTCTCTACGGTGCAATTCCTGTGATTTGAACAACAATATAACACGGATTAACCTGTCATGACTAGAGGCACACTTACATATTTCTCAAGACTTATTATGTGTCTCATTTATGTAAATCTTCAGCTTCTACTCTCCTTCCACACAAGTGTCTCCTTGCTCACCCCAGTGCACCTTTCTTTACCTTGACAGGAGCCCTGTCAAGGAACAGCACATTTTATGTGAGCACAGGGGTATTTCTCAAGGGAAAGCTTTTCCTGAAAACATGCAGTCCAAAAGATTTCCTTTTTTAGTCACCAAAAAGAAAAAAAAAAAAAAAAAAAAAAACAATTAACTGAACGTCACCATTCCCAAAGCAGAATTCTGAAAGTTTGGATCTTGCTCTGACCCATGTTTTATGTGTGCAGCAAATATTTGGCTTGTGTGATTCAGGTATGCAAAAACCGTAAGCACTTTAGTGCATGAACAGTAGGGGGAAAAAAGAGAGGGCGAGGGAGAGAGAGACCTGTGTGTGCCCAAGTATTACACAGCACAAGCGACCAAACATCTGCTGGGCCGCGCTGGGCTTCGGTCAGGCTGGGTTTACATGCAGTTCTGCTCTAAAAGCAAACAGCAGGGCAACTGTCTTTTTTCCACCCCTCTCTTTTTCTCTTTCTTTCACTTTTTTTTTTCTTTTTTTTTTTTTTTGTGGTGTGCATGTCAGCAACTTCCATTTCATGGCTCCCACATGTGTCCTTTTCTAAAATTAGCAGAGAACTGCACCTACTGTGCTCATGAGCAAAGCCTGGGGTTTCTCAGCAAGGTTAACACCACTCAGGCATATTTTATTTTGCTAGTAAAAYATAAGTCTTCTCATTCTTTTTTAATAAATAAGCCATAATATTATAGGAGTGTTTATCAGTAACAAGGACATAATGACCCTGAAGCATCTTTAAGTAGACCTATGGTCCAGTAACAAGCTGCCAAGGTGTTTTATAGAGGTGAAATCCTCTGGATAGTGTCCCGGCTCCCCAGTTCTTCCGAAGCCAGGACCAGTGCAGGGATCTCAGTGAGGAGCAGCACCTGCAGAGCRGGCAATGTGCCCACCCCATTTCCACAAGAGTACGAGGCAGTTAAGGGAAGTTTTAAACTCTAAAAATCCTCAGTTGCTCCTTGAATTGTTGCCAAGTAGCTCTGGGATTGCTGGCTGGGTAGTGGCCCTGTTTGCTTAACTGCTTTAATCATGACCATGTCCAGCTCCATTGCATCTTAAAACCATCTGGGTCTCAAGGTGCCCTCACTGGGATGGTCTCCTGACCTTGTTGCAATTCACAGAAAACTGAGGATGGCGACCTAGACGTTTCCTTAAAATTATTATTGATTTATTGAACTATTGAACTATTATTGATTTATTGAACTGGAACAGGCTGCCCAGAGAGGTTGTGGAGTCTCCTTCTTTGGAGATCTTTAAAACCCGCTTGGATGCAGCCCTGTGCCACGTGCTCTAGGTGACCCTGCGTGAGCAGGGGGGTTGGACTCGATGACCTCTGAGGTCCCTTCCAACCTTCGGCATTCTATGATTCTATGATTCTATGATTCTATGAACTAAATTATCAAAGGCTTTGCTTCCTGCAGGTGGGATAGGACTACTTTGCTCTCCCCAAAACATGCTAAATTCAGCACAAAAATCTGGCTCTGGGAGTTAACTGAATGACAGAGGTGGGGATATTTATTAACTGTCACAGCCCTCCTCTGGATCCAATGGTGACCGTCTCCCAGATGGCATCTTTTCCCATAGGATAGCCCAGCTCCATGGTCCCTGGCTCTGTAGGGCCACCCGGAGCTGGTGCTGCCCCAGCTGTGCCAGGGCCAGCCCCAAGGTGAGAGGAGCAGAGATGCTGCTGTGTGTCCAGCCACATTACCCCAGAAATTCATCTGCTCCTTCATATCTTTCTTCTAGAGATATTATTTCCTGGGACCTGCTCTGCAGTTCTGGCCTTGCTTGGAGTTGGGTATTAGGAAAASCACGTGAAGCCCTCATGGAGGGAGCTGGGACCCCAAAACTGGGAGAGAATATTACTATCTCCTTCCCAACCTCCTTTTGTTTTGGCTTTTGCATTTTATAACATGTTTTCCTAAATCTCTTAAAATAAAAACCAATCCCAAACTGTGTTCTCACTTCTTAACATTCACATTCCCTTAAATGAAGGATGTTATTGTAAAATAATTGGATTTGTGAATAAACGGCCAGAGGTCTRAGGTTTGGTTTACATTTATCTTTGGGAGGAACGGCGTTTATCAACTCCTCGCGAGCTGTCATCACCTTATAGGATCTGCTAAGTACACAGTGCTGGGCTGCTGTTTCAGCAGAGTGCTAAAGGTCTGTCCGTCCCGATTAACATATTCGCTGAAAACATTTAAACATCAGCATTTGAAACCTCCCAAGACTCCCCTGCCCTGCTGTCCGGGAGGCGAGGAAGAGGCCCCCAGGAAAAGCAGCCAAACAGAAAATAAAGCTAAACTGCTTTCCCTGWACAAATAGGACAGAGGCACTTTCTTATTTGGTTGCTTGTGTTTTATTATTTTTATTTATTTATTTATTTACTTCATACTCCTATTTCCTGGAAGGAAAAAAAAAAAAAGAAAAAAAAGAAAAAAAAAAAGAAAGAAAGGTTGCTAGGAATGAATTCTTATTCAAACCTCCCAATCAACCCTGTACACTTCATCATCCGCCCTTGGCTGGGCCCGATGCGATAGGAAGGACCCCGAGGACAAAGGAATTAAACAAAAAAGGCATTTGGAGAATCATTAAACCACAATCGACCCTAATTGCTTTGTATTGGTGCAGAAAACATCCAGTATATTTAACTTTACTAGACAGCTGGTATGTGGAACTGGTAACTGTTCTTGAAGAGGTTTGTTTCTCGTTTTGTTTTTGCTTTATTTTTAATTACACCTGCAAATTAACATTTTAAAGYCTCTGGAGCAAATCCATCTCTGAGAAGTAGCAGAAAAAAATCTACAGCCACTGCCCTGCAAACTCCTCAAGTTAGGGTCTGTGGCTTTCGGGTTCTGTTTGGAGACTTTGTGTTCAAGTAATAAATAATAGCAAGATGACATTTGGCCTTAAATATGTATTTAAATGAGTCACCTTGAATGAACCAGACTGCTCTTGCTTAGAAGGAAGGAACATTTAAGGAGATATTTTTTCAGTGTRGCTTAGGCAAGGCTTTCTTGTCTGAGCTGTAATTTATGGGTGCAAAATTCAGAGGTTTGAACCTTACTTTATCTGGTATGTGTGTATTTGTTTGTATTCTTCTGGGGGGGAAAAGTGACTACTCAGATTTTGGCTTATACATAAAATTGGTCTAAAAGAAGGCAGTGTGAAAACAGGCACTGTGCGGAAAAACTGCCTATGTTTTACTTTTTGAAGCCGCCTTTTGTGGAAAAAGACACCTATGAAATGGGAGGTTTTCCGAAGAGAGCGACTTTCCTGTGCTGCCTAGGCACGGATATCCGCTGCGTGGCGGGACGCAGCTCGCTGGTGTGAGGAGCACGGCCGGCGGGCCTCGCATTCCCGTTGCAGCACGAGCAGCGTGCCGCCTTCTGCAGAATCTCCGGTAGCTTGTTACTTCATAACTTAGGGTTTTACATGCAATACAGATTTTGATGTTGAAGCAAAATGTGCTTTTTAATAGTTTATTCTTCCTTTTGATAATACACACGTAGTACAGGTGTAATGAATGGACCTAACTGTGCATTCATAAGAGACAGAGCTTATTTTTCACTCTGTATTCATCATTGTCAAAACTAAGAACCACTAAAAGATGTTTTGGAGATTTCTCTCTCTCTCTCTCTCTCTCTCTCTCTCTCTGTCTTCTTTTTACATCACCTTGCTTAACCAGACGGGATCACAGCTGGGATATTTTTGTGCTGCCACTGTATTCGCAACAGCCACCATTTCACAGCAATCCTAGTGTTAAAACCAAATGGTGGCACAAAGGCTCCTGCTCATCATTCATTCCCCAGCTGTCTTTTTGCCTTTGCCACCCTCCTCGCTCTCCTCCTCCAATAAAACCTTTCACTTACAGAAATTCAAAAAAGGGCTTAATCCCCCTGTCCTCGCAACACCAACCCCACAGGTTAATGCACACTTCAATAGTTAGAATCAAAGAAATGGGCCTTCTTACAAAAGGGCCTTTAAAAAAAAAATCCTATGCATCTATTTATAAGCCATCTAATCTCAAAAATCCTTATTACCTATCGTGTTACTTTAAATCATGGACATGAACGAAAGGGAGTCTTGGCATTCAATTATCCTTCTTGCTTTAACAAGGTGTGTATAATAAATGAGCAGTTCTTAATTGACTCCAATGCAATTTGACACTGCTGGAGTAGGAGGAAGAGGGGAGCCAGAAAGAAAGAASACATGCAGCTTAAAGCTATTAGAGAATGCTTTTTATTTATAACATGAAATATTATTTTATGTCATGAAATTAATTAATCAGTATTCTGAAACAGCATTTAGGATAAAAATAGTTCCAAGCAACACTTTGCAATTAATCATGTTTTATAGGTTTTTGCATTGTCACAGATAACAACATATCATTGACTAAAAGGTAATGTTCTAAAGATTTTTACAGTTATGGCTAAAGAAATGTTTAAAAATGTAATTATCTCATTTATAGCTTGCTTTCTTTTATCTGAGGCTTTATAAAAACAGATAATGCAATAATAAAATCCCTGCTCATAAATATTTTATCTAGGCAATAAATGATGCAGAAATACATTCAACCTGTATCTCCAAATTTAGATTAATTTGCTTAATTTCTACAAGGGGTTTGGAAGATACAGGGCAGGTGCTCAGAAGAAAAAAAGAAATGTTTGGTGATGCAGTCCTGTTTGATCAGGTTATGGCCTTTTGGAGTGGCATTTTTAGGCACCCATTTTTGTGTATATATAAATGCATATATATAATATGTTATCACTGTGATGTGTCGTGAGTCCTCGTCGCGCCCGTGCTCATCCCGCAAGCAGGAGGGGACATCCAAGCACAGTTGTATCCCAGCCTTGTGTTGAAATAAACGGGTCTGCTGATGTGGCTGATTTCCCACCGCGGCGAGGGCAGGTAACCCCGCATCCCAGAGCTCCAAGGTGCTTTTCCGGAGAGGTTCCTCTGGAATGTTCAGGGGTAGCACCCAGGAGGAGTATCCGACCAAATCCCAGCCCAAGCTGTTCCCTGTTTGGGAATAGCAGGCACTGGCCAGCTGTAAGCACTTGGGAGAGGTCGTTTGTCAGCAGCCATTATTTTTTTTTAAAAACGGCTTCGCTAAGYACTGTTACCATTGGTATTTTCAAAACTAGTGTCATTTTCAGTTAGAACAGGCAGTTTCACCGCTCTCCTCCGCCCGCAGCTCGTTTTCTGCCATTGCAACTCCAAATATATCTTTCAGCCTCTGCCCTCAGCAGAGCCGGGACAGGAGCCAGGGTTCAGCAGCTCTTATCGAGCCATCACGCCGAGGCTCTAACCACGGCAGCAAGGTGGTGCAGATCCTCAGATCCAATAACCAACGCACTTCCATCCCCAGCTTGAGCAAAACCAGGCTTGTCACTGCGCAGGAAAAATGAAATGCCACGAGAGCAGCGCGGCTTGGCTTCCAGGATGCATAATAGCTTCTGTCAGCTCTTTCAATCACTTAGGTATGATTTGCATCAGCGTTTCCAGCTGCTGACTATTTACAGTTACACAGCTATTATGTCTCCCATCAGCTGCCGAGGGAACAGGTGTTGGCCATTGTGCGGGCTGCTGAGGAGCGCGATGGACGCGACGCGACAGCCCTGCAGCGCCGCGCCGGCCCTCGGGGAAGCGGCGAGGGCTGAGGAGGGCTAGCAATTGAGCCAAGTTGCTTAACAACCTCTAATTTTAATACTGCACTTTTTTTGGTTAGAATTTTTTTTTTTTTTTTTTTTTTTTGGTTGGAGAGAAGGGAAGAAATTCAGACTGCAGCCAAATGTGTTGCTGGGGTGCTGGCTGCTCCGAGTGCTGCTGCTGCCAAGGCTTTCCCTGCTCACCCAGCGTGATCCCGCGCCCTGGCCGGGACACTTAACGGCACCTATGGTGGCTCCCCAGCAGGTTTAGATCCCTGTGCCTGCTTGCAGGGGCTCCTCGCCGCCGCGTGCCATCCCCACGGAGCATCCAGAGAGCTCGCCAAGACAAGAATGGCAGTGGTCGTGCTAGCTGCTGCTTGCTGATTAATATTAATTAGCATTAATAATGAATGGACTAATGGTAATTAATCCATGCAGTCATGGATCGGGAGTTTTGAGTTAGACATGGCAAAAAGATACAAGGAAAAGGCAGTCCTTTTACCCAGAGACCTGGTTTGCCAATGCTGAGAGGATTTTTGCCAGGAATAAAAGTCATGCGGGCTCGCCCACACGGGCAATTCTTCTGCCTGTATTGAGTTATTCTTGCACAACGACTTAGCTGCTGTCTGGCTTCCAAAATGCATAGTCATCAATGAAGTTATATTAGTACAACTGGGCTGGCTTAACGTCACCCTTTGGCCTGTACCAAGAATGTCAGAACTGTAGAAATAGGACTTTATAGTTTGCTTTCAAAAGAGCTAGAAAAAATGGCATGAGAACACAGTCAGGATTTATTTTTTTTAATTTATGTAATAGAAATTCGATTTGCTGGTTACTAAGCCAGAAGTCTTTGCTGGAGACAAAGCTCGCATTATAGCTGTTTTTAGTTCAAAAGAGATTTTGAATCCATTTTTGTGTCAGTTCTGTGGTAAAACTGTAATCTGTCTTATCAACTCAGTCTCCATGTCAAAGACATACGTTAAGCCATTCCTCTTTCCTTAAGCATTTTCAACATGTGCTTAACTTTAAGCACATGCTTCGCTTGGTTTTATGAAATAAAACATTAAAAAAAAAATTGGCATCCTCTTGCTATTTCAGTTCCCAATGTAAGCACTCA